AAAATCAATTTATCCAAGACTCAATGTGGATGACCATTTATGCGATATCAGTTTGAAAGATTTGGTCTTTTGGTGCTGGATGTTCAGATATACTTTTAATATATTGTTCTTTTTGTGGTCTAGGTTGGGAAAAAGTTGTCAGAACTCATACGAGATTCAGGAAATCAGACTCCTGGCAGTGAACAGAACCGGTGGCAAGCAGAACTTGCACAGGTGGCTATTGAGCTTATTGGGGTAAGAAAACAGTACCTATTTCTTTCTCTGTATAATTTCTTAATACGCGGAGTGAAAAAAGGGGGCTTGGGTAGAAGTTGGATGATACTTTTTATTTTGATGATCTCTTTGGGGCAAAGGAAGACGAGGGATTAAGGGACTAAGGGGAGGGGTGCATTTTCACTGGTTTTCTGCTGTGTTCAAAGCAAAGAAATGAGACAATCATTTTGATGATCTCTTTGGATGAAGGGAAATGGGAGGGGAAAGAGAAGTAACTGTTTTATTCCTGTAATTCAGCATTTCGACTTCTCCACATCTGGATTTCGTTTTGTAAGGTCTCAAGTGTTAATCTTATTAAGGAAATTTCCCCCTCCATTCTTAACTCTTTGTTAAGCCATGCTTTCTTCATGACTATATGTGATTATGTGCATTACACTAATAATTTTGAAGAATAGATCTATAATCTCTAATGCTGGCTTACTTTACACACACACACACACTTGTTAAGTACCATTTTCACGCTGAATAAGGTATCTGGTTTGATTAGCAAGCAAATGGTGAGGAGAAAAGTGAATAGATTATTGTTGGTTTTAGATAGAAAAGTGTTAGTATTTTTGAAATTTAAAGAGGCTGATTAGTTGTTATATAACATGTACCACTTTTAAAAAAAACAGAGGTTGATCATATCATAACTGCACATTATGATATGATCATCATCATTATCATAATGTGCAGTTGTATCAGTTCATTTCAGTTTAATTTTTGGAGAAAGGGAAGTTTTCGACCTAAGGATCAGAATTAAGTACATATCATGACAAAAACAAAAGAGTAGGTCAAGGCATTTGGGATGACAACAGTTTATTAGGTTGCTTATACATTTATCTTTCTAGTGTACTCCGCAGAGTTGTCTTTCGCTCCTTTTCCTCTTTTGTTAATTTGCAGGTGTATGGGTTCTTTTTCAATTGTTTTGCAGGTTGTAACTAATTCGGGCCGTGCAAGTTCTCTGGCTGCCACAGATGCTGCGACCCCAACATTAAGGCGTATAGAGAGAGCTGCTATAGCTGCTGCTACTCCGATCACATATCATGCAAGGTAAATTGGCGTTTGCTCCAAATGTAAATTTGAGCAACATGGTTTTCTTCTTTTTACCTTATATACTAGTTTCTGACCTCCTTTATGTTCGAGTTCAGGGAACTTTTACTCCTCATCCATGAACACCTACAAGCTTCTGGTCTTACAGACACTGCAACTATGCTTCTTAAGGAGGCTCAGTTGACACCTTTGCCATCTTTAGCTGCTCCATCATCTCTGGCACATCAAACATCAGGGCAGGAGACATCGTCAGTTCAAATTCAGTGGCCATCTGGTCGTGCACCTAGAGGATTTTTGTCAGCTAAACCGAAACTTCCGTCATTGGATGAGGATGGCGGATTGAAATCTGAGTCAATTGTCTGTTCTTCAAGAAGGAAGCCGTTGGCCTTTTCGTCTTCGCGTAGTGTGTCCTCAAAATCTCTTCCTGTTGAAGTTTCTCCATCTACATCAGGCTGCAAATTCAGTAATTCGAAAAAGTGTGCCACACCTGTAGCTACATCAGAAACTCCATCACTATCTACAGTGAAATCTGGTGGAGATCCAGACATCATGTTTAAAACTCCCATTGTATTGCCAATGAAACGCAAGTTAACTGATCTGAAGGAAGGTGGATCAGTAGCATCAGTTAAGCGACTCAATACTGGTGAACATACAGTCAGATCTCCGGTTTGTGTCACTCCAAATTCGTTCCGTAGAAGTGGTCTACCATCAGATCCTAATGTGCCTTCAACACCAAATTCTACTTTGAGAGAGATCCATAATCGACCTGGCTCAAGTGCTTTTCCAACTGAAGGTGATGATACTCCTATGGTGTCGTCTTCTCAACATGGTCTTCTAAGTGACTCACAACCCTCAAATGCGGAGCGGTTGACCTTGGACTCTGTGGTTGTTCAGTACTTGAAGCACCAGCATCGCCAATGTCCTGCTCCCATCACAACGTTACCTCCTCTTTCGCTCTTGCACCCTCACGTCTGTCCTGAACCAAAACGAAGCCTTGATGCACCATCAAATGTGACATCACGGCTTAGTACTCGTGATTTTAGAAGTTTGAATGGTGGGACACACGGAAAGCGTAAGGATCGACAATTCGTCTACAGTAGATTTAGACCGTGGCGCACTTGCCGGGATGATGCTGGTGTCTTATTGACATGTGTCTCTTTTATGGGAGATTCTTCGCAAATTGCTGCTGGCACCCATTCTGGAGAGCTGAAAATATTTGACTCTAACAGCAGCAGTATCTTAGAAAGCTTCACCAGTCACCAGGCACCTTTAACACTTCTACAGTCCTACCTTTCTGTTGAGACACAGCTTCTCCTGTCTTCAAGTGCTCATGATGTGCGGTTATGGGATGCAACTTCTGTTTCAGCTGGGCCTAAGCATTCATTTGAAGGCTGTAAAGCTGCTCGATTTAGCAATTTCGGTACAACATTTGCTGCATTGTCTGCAGAGCAATCTCGGCGCGAGATTCTTCTGTATGACACTCAAACCTGCCAAATGGAACTGAAACTTACAGACACATCCAATATTCCTTCAGGCCGAGGACATATGTATTCCCTTGCACATTTTAGCCCATCAGATAATATGCTTCTCTGGAACGGTGTCTTATGGGATACTCGTGGTTCTGGCCCAATTCATCGTTTTGATCAATTTACCGACTATGGTGGCGGGGGCTTTCATCCTGCTGGCAATGAGGTAAAGACATTCCATTCATTTTCCTTTGGGTGGATAGTATTATAAGCCTGATGCTAAATCCTTTTTAACAATTTTTCATTTATTCTCACCTTTGTGGATCCTTGGTTTTACCTTTGCTGAAACTGTCATCTTTTTGGATAGGTCATCATAAATTCTGAGGTATGGGATTTGCGGAACTTCAGGCTTCTGCGAAGTGTACCGTCTTTGGACCAGACTGTAATAACATTTAATGCAAGTGGTGATGTGATATATGCCATCTTGAGAAGAAATCTTGAGGATGTCATGTCCGCATTCCAGACACGTCGTGTTAAACATCCTCTCTTTGCTGCTTTCCGTACGGTGGATGCTGTTAACTACTCTGACATTGCAACCATTCCAGTAGACCGTTGTGTACTTGACTTTGCGACGGAGCCAACTGATTCATTTGTTGGGCTGGTCACAATGGATGACCAAGATGAGATGTACTCTTCTGCTAGGGTGTATGAAATTGGTCGGAGGAGGCCAACTGAGGATGATTCAGACCCTGATGATGCTGAAAGTGAAGATGAGGATGAAGACGATGATGATGACATTGACGATGAAGCGATCCTTGGAACGGATCTTGATGGGGACGGTGAAAGCGATGCAGATGATTTGAGCAATGATGATGATAGTGTGAGTGAGCTTGATGACGAAGAAGATGAAGACGGAGACTTTATTGTAGATGGTGTGGACTTTGGTGGTGGAGGTATATTGGAGATTGTGACAGATGGTGAAGATGAAGATGACAGTGAGCTTGTTGAATCCTTTAGTAGTGGGGATGATGATGATGATGATCTGTTGTAGGTAAATGGCCTTGGCTTTCAATTTAGATGTAATCAATGGATATATTATCCTCTCATATAATTTGCTTGGCCAGTCTTTTAACATTTTTTTATGCATTTTAGGAAAGGGTTAAAGATTACCTTTTTCCTCTAGTTTTGAGTTCTTTTCCAGTTCTATTTTATGGCGAGGCTTTTTGTGCATATATGAGTCAGAAATGAAAGAGATTATGCTACAAGAAATCTCTTTATTTACCTATTTTAAAGCTTAACAGCCTCTCTGTTTTTTTTCCCTTCGGAGGTCCGACTAAATTCGGATTGCCCATTGGGGGTGGGACTTCCAACTGGTTTTTATCTTTACTTAGGACTCGAATTTGAAATCTCTAGTTAAGGATGAAGTAGTCCGATCGCTACAAACTCATGTTGGTTTAGTCTCTCTAGTTTTAAGTTGGGTTTCAGACACTTATATTTATGAAAAATTATTTATCATTTATTTAATACTTATATCTCTTAAATATAAATACACAACAGTTTACCCCTCCTTTTTGTTTAACTATATTGATTAAAATTTAATGTATTTTGTTGTATGTTTGGATTTAAATTAAATTAATGAACTCTTACCTAAACTCTTTTAAAATATTTAAAATCATTTATTTATCTGAATAAATGTAATTCTATAATAAATATCATATTTGTAATTTGACATTTTTGAAATATTGGTCAGATAAAATATTTTAAAATTCTTATACACACTTCATAAATGAATTTGTTGGAACATATAGTAGTTCTTTCTAAAATCGCTGCTTTGGAAAGCTATATTCAAAAACATATTTCTCAAAATAAGCAATTGGGTCCCTAGAAAATTGGTCAAACATACGATAATCATTTTCCATTTTTTATTCGGAAAAGGATCAAAATTATCCTCGAACTATTCGAAATAACTCATATATTCCCTTTAATTATGTTTAGGATCAAAACTATCCTTGCCGTCTATGTTTTGGACCACAAATATCCTTAAAACGTTATCTTTACAGACATGGCAGTCCAACATGACAAAAATACCCTCTTCTCAATAATGTTGCTCTGTACCGAGCAAATTATATTTTGAAATTTTAAATTTTACTATTATTATTTATAAAGTTATTTAATAATAAAATTAGTATTGAATGAAAATAATAATTTTGTCATAATTTGTTAAAATATGATAAAAAAAACAAACTCTTTTCTCTTTGATATTCCCGTCTTCTTCTCCAAAATTCCATCTCTCCATGGCCGATCCATGTTTGTTCAGGTAAGCTAATCACTCCTATTTCGTCATCTTTACAGTTAAATACACACTTGTCATTCTTCTCAAACGCATTAATAAAGCCTAATAATCTACACTTTGGAATCCATCTTACGTATATTTTCTGATTTGGTTTATGCTGTGTCCTTTTCAAATGCTGCTGCTGCTGCTGTATTGTGGTATATTGAGATTATTAAATACATGAAGATTTTCAAACCTTAGTAAACCCTGCAGGGATAATAATGTTATAATAAGGGAATTTGCATTGAAAAAGATGGATTCGTTTCAATTTAGTTATAGGTTAGTCTATCAACAAACCAGAAATTGAAGTAATTTAGTTATAGGTTAGTCTATCAACAAACCAGAAATTGAAGTAATTTAGTTATAGGTTAGTCTATCAACAAACCAGAAATTGAAGTAATTTAGTTATAGGTTAGTCTATCAACAAACCAGAAATTGAATTAATAGAACAAAAGTTATCCAAAATCGACCTAATTACCTTAAACTATTAGTAGACTCTGGGTAGAACCAAAATTTCATTAAGAGGTTCAAAAATATGAAAGCCAAGGGATTCAACATCTAATATATATACATTAAAAATATATTTTTTACCTTGTATCTACAATGTAATTTTCTGTTGGAAGGGGTTTGGATGACACTCCTTGCTCCTACCTAGCTCCGCCCTTGAGTAGAGTTTATGTCTCGTGTCTTCAAATCCTGGTCTGTTTGACCAGACTAAACTCCTGCACAGAAAAAGGAACAAGAAAAGCAAAACCAAAGAAAATAAATACAGATTTTTACAGCAATACATTCATGTACCAAAATTTAACTACAAACTCCTCAAACTCGCACGGTATTTCTGAACAGTTCCAATGCATATTGTAATAAACAAGGTTAATACACAAGAAGACAAAACCCAAACATCTTTTAGCATTTGCCGGAGTTAAAATAAATCAAACTCAATTATGCAAGTCAAAACTGAACACTTGAAAAGAGCAAATTATGTGTGGCGAAAAGAAAGTGGAACAAACATAGATGCAAATCTGAATCAAGATGCACAACATGAAGTGTTAATTCAATTAGTCTGCAAGTTAAAACGACTAACAAGGTTCAATTAGTCTTACAAGAACTTATATTGAAAATTTTCTTTTTGAAGAGCTAGTTTATCTGGTTGTTTGTACATTATGTCACTATATGAATGAGTTTATGTTAGCTTTTCCAATTATTTTTTTCCTTTTCTTTTTTCCTCTTTTAGAAAAAAGGTGTCTTTGAATCCGTAACATATTGATGTAAATAGGCTTAATATTTTTGCAGGGTTTGTAAACTGCACAATAAGATTGAACCAGTTCCAATTTCTGTGTACTAGATCCAACATCCTTGTTCTATAGAAGAAAATTGGTAAGTGTTCCTTTTATCTTTCGAAATGTAATAGTTATGGCTAATGATTAAAATTAAAGGATATAATTCCCTTATTAACTGTTATTTCTTTTAATGTTTTTTCATAGAAGAGGTGATATTCCTCTATTAAGATCACATCCCCAAAAAACCATTCTATTCTACTCTCTTTTGACAAGTATTGACAAAAAATGATTGAATGTAGAGATACTGATTATTGTAAGGTTTATTGTTGGTAGTCTCCATGATCTCCTTGAATTATTGATGTTTGATCTCTACTACTGGCTTCACTTGCCTATAATGGGTTTTAGTAATACAACTCATTTAGATTTTCATGCAGATACAACTCTGTGCTATCTGTAGTTCTGCTGGCAAAAAAATTAAATGGAGTGGCTAGTAATCATCATTACATTGGTTGTGCTGTGGGTGGCTTCACTCTTTAAAATTCTCCACGAATCTCTCTCTGCCTCACAAGCTGCAGTTTTAAATGATGGTATGGGTGACTTCTCAACAAAATGTCAATTCTCGTTTTCTTTTGTATTTACTGACTGCCTTGGTGTTGTTATGAATTATTCTCTTAGAATCTAAATACATGCATACATACAACTTTCCTATAGTGTTTGTTCCACAGCTAATTGCTTCCCTTCTTAATATGTATATTTTTTTTATGTTTCAGGTGGAGTTTTTCGCAAGAGAAATGTCTTATTGGTTATTGCCCATCCTGATGATGAGTCTATGTAAGGTTGAACATGTTAACTTTGAGTTGTTATTTGTTCATATCATTAATTTTCTGAGCAATGCAAACTTTTGAACTGCTATAGAGGGAGTTGCAGTCTAAGACACTTGGAACTATTGATGTTTGCGTAATCAAGACACAACTTCCAATGCAAGTGTTTACGATCGTACAATAGTATAGTAACACAACCAAGGGTTGGGGTCGAGTCCCAAGGGAGTGGGCTTGAGAATTAATAGAAAAATAAAATTAAGTTCTAATTAGTCATAGCTAAAAACATTATCGAATATAAACATGTTAAATCTAAGGGGTGATGCAAGCGTCAATTATCAATGAGGGTTTGTGACAAGTAAGCAAAAACAACAAAAATGCAAAGAGTACTAAGCAAGGAGAGGGGATTCTTGGGATGTGATAGGAATACGGGTTAGACTAGATCGTTGGGTACATGCTTTTGATAGTAATTTCGTTGAATATTTGTGACTAGGCTAGACTATAGTGGGGGTAAGCTTTCTCTTGAACAACTTACCCCGAATCAAATGGGTTCCTCCCGGACACCCACTTGCCGAAGAACAGCCTCCGCCTTAGCCCACTCACTCTCTCGAGCTGAGTGTGTGGGAGAAGGACTAGGGTTCACTCTCTCGAGCTGAACCTCATGTCGACCCACTCCCATCGGCCATCAATTTAGTAGTCTTACTTTTACGACCTCTCTCTCGAGCAAGCCGAAAACACAAAGGTGTAATCGTATTTGCAACTACAATTTCATTAAGTTCCAACACAACTACTAAACGAAATCACATCTAAACAACAAATAAACTATCAGCAAGCAACACCCAACAATTAATCTAACCCATATTCACATAATCACACCCCAAGAATTGGGGTTTTAGCTAGACATGTAAAAGAGAGAAATTTATACCAAAATGAGTTTGCATTCAAATGGGTATGAAGATTTTAGTCTCAAAACAAGTCAAGAGTGAAGAATCCAAGAGACCCAAACCAAAATTGTTGGAGTTGAAACCCTTTGAATCTTCAAGTTCTTCAAAACCCTCTCCAAACTTAGAACTCAAAAATCTATGTTAAAAATTATATATTAAAAATCTCATTTTAAGCTACAACTCTTAACGAGTATTTATAGTTTTCAAAAATCTGTGCTGCAGCGGATCATTCGGCATCGTTAGTCGAGATCGCCGATCAACTCGGCGATCCTCCCTTTGGTAGGTTTCATCGCCGTCTTGCTCTATCCTTCAGCATCGTCGTGTTTTGGATCATTGGGCGACATAGTACTGCTTCGCGGAACTGCACGGCGATACGCCGACTGCTTTTTTTCACCGCCGATTTGATCCTTTCCTTCCGGGCTTAGCACACTGGAACAAAAGGCGAGGATAAGACCTTTTGGCGACTCGCCGAATGGGTTCGGCGATACTCAGATCTTCATTTGTTCATTCTTTCAGCTGCCTTTAGTTCCTTTTTTGCTAAGTAGTGTCCATGCTTTCCCTCAAACTCCAAATACCTGAAACTTAAGGGTTTTCATCAGATATTGAGATAAAATTGCATTTGAGGATACTAATTCTATCAAAATATAGCCCTATATGAGTCCAATTTGTGGACTCATCAACTATACGTTAGTTTTGATCAAGATTATGAGAGCCCTATGTGTCGTTAGTTATACACTAACATAAAGTTGCTCAATCGAAACAAATTTTATCAGTCGAGCTCATAGTTGAACACATTCACAGAAGAATGAAGTCCATGGATTTGTATGTCCATCTTGAAACACGGTGGACTAGAAATTTGGTGGGCTAAACTATAAGATTCAATTATGACCCCTTTGTTAAATAAATTATTAAAGAACTGAATTATGAATTGTCTTCATATAAATTATGATTTCAATCCTTTTGTTTTGTTTTGTTAAGCATACGATGTCCTGATACATATGATACTTGAAAATCTATGACCTAATAAAATGCTATAACTTTCTTTTTCTAAATTTTATCAGATTTCCTTAACGCTTGTTCTAAGAGAAGCATCCTTTCCTGGATATTTTTCTTTGCAAATTGTGTTTAAAAGTAGTTGGTAACAAGGATCATAACTCTCGATGTCAGTTCCCACATATGCTACAATGACCTTTCAATGTTTGGGTAATCTTGTTATTAAGTAATCATTATTATATCTATTTGCTGAAAGCATTACTATTGTGAGATAATGACTTATGGTGCTTTTTACTCTATACTGTAGGTTCTTTACTCCAACCCTTAATTATTTGTCTTCGAGAGGATGTAATTTACACATATTATGCATGTCAACAGGTAAGACTTGTAGAATGTTTCAATTTTTGTTGCAGATGCTGAATATAAAAAAATTGTTTATGCCTAATTTTTGGGTGGCATGTGTATTTTGGTTGCCAGATATATTTCTCAAGACACAAAAAATAAATTTCAAATGAAAAGTTGATTTTTGAACTGGTTGAAATACTAAAGCAATTGATTTTTCTTAGAAGTATGATCCAATTCAAGCAGTGTTGTTAAGCCTGAGATTCGCTTTCTAAATTTGAACTATTGCAGTTCTTTTTAAGTGTAGAATGTTTAAATGATCAGAACGCAAATCACTTGAACTGTTCTTTAGCAAATCCTTATCCTAGATAACCAATAGTCTATCACTGATTCTAACTTTCAGTATATTTTTTCTGCTTTGTTGCATTGTACTGAAATATAGGTAATGCAGATGGTATGGGCAGTGTCAGAAAAGAAGAACTTTATTTAGCCTCGATTGTGCTTAAGGTGATGTGAAGATTAATGCTAGATCTGTGATCTTTTACGTTGGCTTTCATGTAAAACAATAACGGATTCCTTTATTTCTGCGAATTGCTATAACTGATTTTTTTGTAAAATGTTGGAGAAGCTAGTCAGATATGAGTCATTGATCTTTCTGTTCTCTATTAATTTACTCATGTAGGTTCCACAAAAGCAAGTGAAAGTCCTTGATCATCCAGATCTACAGGTATGCTGGCTGTATCAGAATGGTATATCTATATGTTCTAAATGTTTAAGCAGAGTTCTAATGCGTAGTTCTGACTAGGATGGTTTTGGCAAATCATGGAACTCTAAGTTATTGTCAAAGATTATCAAGGAGGAAATTGTCAATTGTGCAATTGATTTGGTAAGTGATTTCAGTTAATTATCTTGTTCAACTAAGATGGTCTTTCAGATAATCTTCAGTAGCTTCTGCTTCTTTGATCGCTTATTCAAGTTTCCTCCTGTTGATTTCATCGTATAAGCGGCTTTTCTACTTTGCTAGATTAAAATCTTGATCTGTAGTTTGTTTATTTGTTCATTTTAGTTTTTTTTTTTTTGGGCTAACTAACTGACTTTTATTAATCACCAAAGTATTGAATTGCATTGCTATAGCTTGCTACAACTTAGCAAAACTATTTCAACTTGCCACTTAAACTATGAGCTAATTAGAACAACAGAATCTAAAAAATGTAGCCATGGACTTCATATTGTATTCTAGGGGGAGCTCTAACACAAATAACATATATACAATCTCCTTAGCTATTGTTTCCCTTGCACGACTTCGTTTTTCAAATATTCTCATGTTTCTCTCATTCCCCAATGCATGAGTAATTTCAGAGTATACCATTTTATAGAGTTGAGCCTGCTTTGTCTTGCCCTTTGTTATTCTAATGATCCACTGAAGTGTTGTTCCCAGGTGGTAGGATCATACATTGGTCTCTGCATCCACTGTAGTACTCTATCCCATAGAGCTTTGGAGAAAGGACATTGTACAAATAGGTTCTCTCTGGATTCATCTTGTGTTTGGCACATGCTGCACTTGGTGTCGAACTGTCGATCACCATTCCTCATTTTAGTAACCTATCTGTGCTCAGTAGCTTCCCATGTATCTGTAGCCAGGTAGTAAATCTAGCCTTTGGTCTAGCTGGATTCATAAATATTAAGCATTTCCATGGAACCGTAGGTTTATCATCAATTAGCTGATTGTATACCTTTTGTATGACGCTCCTCTTAGAATCAAGTGAGTGTGACTGCATTGCAAAGGCCCTTGCTTCAAATATTTTCCTAATCATCCAACACGCTTGCTTTGGCACTTGGAGATTGCTCAGAAGTTGTCCTATTATGTAATAGGTGTGTACCCACCTAATCCACATCCTGTCTTCCTTATGCTCCAAATCCCAGTAGTTCTTTGTGATTGCAGCCTTATTCCAAAGGAGCAAATTAGTGATATTTATACCGCCCACACACGTTGGAGTGCATGCCTTTTCCCAAGCTACTTAGGCTTTCCGTGTGATGGTATTGCTTCCAGACCATAGGTAGCTTCTGCAATGTGCTTCAATTAGTTTCAACATTTTGGATGGTAGCATGAATATTTGTGCCCAATATGCTTGAATTCCAATTATAACAGTCTGAATCAGTTGCACCCTTCCTGCGTATGATAAGTTCCTAGCTGTCCATGAAGAATATACTTTTCATTATTCTGAATTTGATTTGATTTACCCCCTGCTTAATTGGAATTTATACGGAAGAATCCATTATTATGTCTTCATTGAGGCCTACCAATCTGGAATTTAAGCAGAGAACCCAATAGAATGGTTTACATATATCTTACCTGGTGTCTACCAAATATATCATGGACCTTTGAAACAAGTGCAAAATTTTAATGTGATAGACCGTTGTATTTATGCAGCTTTAATGTTCGGTATTATATAGGAAAGCCGGAACTTTCATAAAGAAAGATGGGGGTAACCTCATTTTGTTCCAAATTTAGGGAATGAGGCAGCGGTTGCCTATTTCATAGTTCATGTTGTAGACAATAAATTTTGCGTTTAGAAAATACTCAAGACTTTCAAATACTGTAATAAGTGTAGTATTTTATTTTAACACTGAATATTACAATCTCAATAATTCATATGATTCTTCTTTTCACAAATAAATTTGCAGTCACTTTTTCATTTTGTAATTTCTGTTTTTCCTTTGTGTTTTTATCCAAAATGTTGCCTTAGATTATTTGTGAGCAGAGGAAAATCTTATTATGTCACCTTTTCATCTCATGGACATTTGTTCTCCAGGTCATAACTTTTGATAATTATGGAGTCTCAGGTCACTGTAACCATCAAGATGTTCATCAAGGTGTACGGTAGGTTATTTGTCATATTCTGGTAGCCATTAGTAGTACTTTGCAAATGAAATTAGTCACCATATATTCTGGTTGTAATTGGATGTGCTCTTGCAGATGTTATAAACAGATTTGTTTAGTATAGACAGTGATATTTAATACTGGCAAAGTTTCAGAAATCATAATGATCCTATTTCTTTCTAGTTTGATATCTCTCTTATACTTGATTAAGTTTTTTGAACAGGCATCATTATGAGGGATTCTTTACTTTTCTTTGTTGAGTTTGTAATTGATTGACATGCCGATAACATGTTGTGTAAGTTGTATGACAAGGAAACGTTGATGAGTTGGACACTCCTTTGTAGATGTAAGCCTTCAAACTAAATCTTCTTCATGACTTAACAAACTAACTTAACCATAATTCTCCCGTTATTATAGCCATGTTTGTGTGTTTACTTTAGGTCCTATGACTTTTGGAGTCTGTTAGTCATATCAGAGATTTATATACCAGTAGAAAGTAGAAACTGTAAAGAATTCTAGTACTTCTTTTTCTTTTTTTACTTCTTGCTTAGAGTGACACGGTTAGTGAGGATTCATGTAACCGATTCCAACTTGGTTTTGGGATTGAGGTGTAATTGTTGTTGTAGCATATTCTTCCACTAGTCTTCTAAAATCTTTGGTAGTGAAACATGTAAGGCTTAGAATTAGTAGCTTTATTTTTAATTAAATTTCCTTGCAATATCTACTTTGTTTAACATTGAAGGCACACCACTATTTTATGTCTTTCAACTGCCCATGCTGTTGATAAAATTACTACTTTAACAATACAAATACCTTTCTACTTCCATACTTTGTAGCACATCTTGATAAAATAGTTTTTTCATTTGCAGAAAACTATTGCAAGATACTTCACATAAAGAAGTTGAAGCCTGGGAGCTTGTGAGTTCTTCCCTTGTCTCATTACCTTTGGCTCTACTTGTAGATTTTTATTTTAGTTTCTTGGGAATATCATAAAACAACTACGTCGATGTCTCACTTCCAAGCATGTTGGAGTTGACTATACAAATTTTACTGACCATGTCGTCCCTTATAACTTATAAGCTCATCTCATAGCTTGAAGAATTCAAATGTTCATTGGTTTTGCATTTCTATGACTATGTTTGGAATCTTTGCCTATATATCACAATTTTACGGTTTAAGTTTTTGACTGGAGGCTGTGATTAATCATTTTCAGGTTAGCACTAACATATTGCGCAAGTACAGTGGACCAGTTGACATATGGCTGTCCCTTCTATCTGCTAAGTTCCATTTAAGCGGAGTAAGGCATTGCTTGCTAAATGAACATCCCAGAAGGAGCTTAGCTGCAATGGCTCAGCACAAGAGCCAGTGGGTTTGGTATGTAATACCTTTGCTATATTATCTTGCTTACGATGGTACACGTATAAAAAAGTCCGAAAAAAAGAAACAAAGGAAGGGTCATTTCAATCTCAGCTTCGCTTTCCAGACATTCATTTCCTTCTTCTTTGGGGAGTAGTGGTTTATTCCATTATGGAAGGGAGAAGATAAATCAAATATAAAGTAAATGATCTGTAAGACACATCCAGCCCTCTAGATTGCAAGCCATCACACTGTTGTCCTTGATGTATTGCTTTCAGTAAAAAAGTAGTTGCTGATATCACTCGATCTTGGGACTAAGACATCGGTATTTAGCCAGATGAGTCTTCCCAAAAACATTTTATCCACACACATTACATGTTTTATAACTATCTTTTGGTTTGCCTTTTTCAGGTTTCGTAAGCTATTTGTTTCTTTCTCAAGTTACACATATGTTAACTGCCTTAAGAAGATCAATTAGATACATATAAGGTTATTGGTTCCTCAAGACACTTGATCAACTTGATGTTGGTTCAGCAATGAGAACAGTAGGTAAAATCACTGAGTCGATCAGTTCCGCATCTCAGAAGCTTTAGAAAGTGAAGGCAGTGTTAGAATTATTGGTAATTGCAGAAATAGTTGGTCCATCACCCAGTGTCCAGTACTCGCATTGGGGCTTGACTTCATGCTCGTTTTTTTTTAATATTATTTATTAAGTAATAAGTGCTTTTGTTTTGGTGAATAATATAGTTTTGGCACACAGCCAGTTAATTATAGACTAGTTCCCATTCTAATTCTCTTCTATTTTTTGGTTCCTCTTTTGAACAACATTGCTGGACTTTTGAAAATGTAACATTTTTGTGTGATTTACATGAATGACCTTGAACTTTTGACCCCACTTGCTCCAAGAAGTTTAACAAGTTTTATCTCATAAATGGAACTTTTGATTTTTTATCTTGAATTTGCCTGTGGGATAAGATGCGATCAAAAGTTCAAGATCCATCATTTTCAAGGTTATTGAGTAATATTTTGAAGGAGCGATTACAAATTGAGGAAGAGAAATGTAATGTTTAGTAGTAAACACATTTAAATATTTGTTTCGATCTCATCAATTTGGGACTTCTAGTCTCTCTAAGAACTACCATAAATACTCATATACACCAAAACAAATAAGATAAATACCTCACCTTGGGCGTTTTTGCTTATATCTAAAATTGCTTATAAAAAACAATATATTATGTATATAAAATTATATCTAAAATTGTTTATAAAATATATATATATTATGTATATAAAATTATAAAATATATGTATATAATTTGTTAGTTCAGTTATATCTTCGTTTTTTAACAAAATAAAACTAAATCCAAATCGATTTACTTAATCAATTTGGTTTGATTTTTCAATTTGGCAATTTTTATCCAAATTGTGAATACCCCTATACAAAACCTATAAAAAAATATAATCTTATAGAAAAAAAAAAACACACACTCTAATACTAATTAAGGAAAACCAAGAACACATATGATAAAAAAAAAGTATTCCCTCTGTTTCATATTAACTGAAATTTTTTAGTCTTTTTTCATTGATCAAAATAACTGAATTGTTCAAAGTTTGAAATTTTTCCGATATTTGTCCTTTCATTTATTGAAGTTTTATATTTTCTAGGAGATAAATTATACTAAAAGTTATATTTATGATTTACAAAGAATAATAGTGAAAATTATGATTCAAATTATGTCTTTAAATGTTTTTCTAAATATGTATGCATTGGCTCAAAAATTCATTTAGTAAAGAATAGATGAAGTATATTCTTTTCATATAATAGTATCAATAATTTTCTTTCACCAATTTTTCCAATCATGCAAAATTTTATTTCTCTATTTTTGGGGACATTTGATTTCATTGAATTTCTTTTACTTCCTCCATCCTAATTTATGTGACACTTTTCATTTATCGAGAGTTAAATAATTTAAGTTTAAACGAAAATTTGCACATGAAATCTTCAATTTTTTTGAATGAAATTTATATATTTGTAATCTACATAAAAAGAAAATACTATAAGTCACAATATTTGACAATTCAAAATATTTGAAAGATATAGGAAAAATTTACAATAAAAATAGACTTGTTTGAATTTTGAAATACGAAAAGTGTCACGTAAATTGGGATGAGTATAAAAAAAATCTAGTCCTTGTTGCTTTCGAGCCAAGTAATGCGCGCGTGTTTGTATGGACCTACCCAAAAAGTCCCATAAAACTAAGTCCAAATTAATAGTTATACATTTCTCCAAGAACCGAACTTTTTTTTCTCCTTCACTCTTCTCTACAAAATTCAAAACCTCAAATTCCAAGATTCAAGAACCATTTCCAGTCTCCATCCTTCATGTATGTATTCGCTCCTCCTTCAAATTTCAATTTATCTCCTTCACTTGTAGTACATTTTCTTGTATATATATATTTTTTTTCAGTGTTGGGTATGTTGAACTGGATGTTTATTATATATTGAAACAAATTTGATGCCTTTTTGATTTTGGATGAAGTGGAGTAGTCATATATGTATGTGGGGTTGTGGGGTTTGTTTTATATGAACCATTTACAAATATATAATGTTGACTTGTATTTGTTATTGTCAACTCTGTTTGTGATGCCTTATGTTCTTGTTTTGGTAAAAGGGTAATGCTAAAGAATGATGGGTTTGATATTATAAGTTCATTTATGATCAATAGGGGGTTAGAGCAGTTTGTATTGTGTTTTGACCCTGAATAATCATGTGTATTTACTTGTATTAGTTTATTTTCTTTGAAGATTTTGGTGCTTTTAGTCATTTTTTGTGTCGTGTGGAGGGGGAGGGGAGACGGTGAACTAGAAAACTTTACCTAAAATGGGGTACTTCAAACCTGGTTGAATCATTTTCGTAAAAAATTGTGATACTTGAGAAGCCCCCTAGGCTTTGGTCTAGTGGTAAGAGCACGACTTATGATGTGTGAGTGAGGTTCAGTTTGTGGCTGACAGAATGGTGTTTAAGTGGAGAAGGACAAAAGGGTGGGCAGATTATCTATCGAGTTTTGAACGATGCACCATTGGCCGTTGGGGATTTCTTGATTATAAAAATTAAAAGTAAAATAAAATTTCTACTTGAGAATGAGTTACAAAACCACCCCTGCTACAAAACTTGCACCAGCTTACATATAAATTGGACCGCATTGTAGAATTTGTAACAAATGAGATTTCTTGGAGGTAAATTTGATTGTAGACACTTTTGCAAGTTGAACGGATGAATTACACATCAAAGTCTTAACTTGTTGGTGTAGAAGAAAAGAATTTCATGTATTTCTTCAACTTAATTTGTATCGGTTTCCAACTAAATTTAATATTTAGATATAAGATATTAAGTCTATTCTTACAATGCTAACTTGAGAGTTGAGATGAGTAATGCTTTTCAAAGCTCACAGGTGTTGTCTTGAAAAAGTATGTAATACTGGGAATGTCTATGGTATCACTGATCCTAGTACTGCTCTCGCCAAGTAGCATTATAAAAGGCGAAAAGTGCTAAGGTTTGTTGGGGGTTTTAAGCGTAAATCACAGGCTTTAATGAAGAAAGGCACAAATGAAGAAAAAGATGCAAACATGTATTCGTTTTTCAAGAATAACAATTATAAGCACAAAGGTACAAATAATAATATCTGGTGCTTTGGTGACTGCACTGAAGTGCCTGCTAAGCGACACAAAACATTCAGCCTGTTTTGCTCCTAGTGGGTTTAAACTCACATTCAGTGAGTTGTTGATGCATTGTGCAACACGTTTAGTTCCGGGTTTTAAGATCATTTCACAATGTGCTTTATACTTGATCTTAAGCATTCTTTGGGCTGACAGAAGGACTTGTAGCTTTTAAGGAAATATATATACGTAGATCATGTGCTGTTACCATTTTCTTTAGCTCTTCTCCCACTACTGATTAGTTTTGCAGTCATCCTTTTCTACGTGAGTATATTATCTTACCTACTAGTATGAGAAATTGTTTGATGCTCTACCAGTTCAACACTATACAGAGAATGTAAGTATTTACTTGTCAGTTTATAGTTAACCATGTGAGTGTTTGACTCATTAAAGTTTCCCTAGACCAAAAGCCCTCTACTCTTGGGGAGAGCGAATTGACTGGCTATTTATCCTACTTAAACAATAATCTTTATTTGTCTAGTGTTTGACCATTTTCCTTGCAGTGATTTTGTTGTGATCTTTGGTTAGTTATTCATGTTTTTTTTTTTTGCAAATGGTAATGTTGGTTATTCATTGTTTATTAGTACAGCTAGTTTTATGTCTCTTCTTCTTTGATGCAGATTGATGAGTATGAATGTGGTCCTGTACGTTGTCTGAAAGCTTTGCTTTAGTGCCATGCCCTCAGTTAGAAACAATACATCTTTCTTACTTTGTAATTAAGCCTGATACTGAATTCATCTACGTATCCCTATCCATGGATACTCCTTCACCATTCTCCCCTCCCTTTCCACTCCCAAATACTAGCTCAAAGTTTCAGTCTCTAAATCTCCAGCGTTATTTAGAGCAACCAGAAGCACAACAACATCAGCTGCAGCCACAACAAGCTGCTGTTGAGCAAGTAAATGATGAGTCTCTTCATGGTTCATCTATCAAAAACCCCGAATCAGGTGTTGGTTCTAATCATGTCTTTGTCAATCATTCAGCAACTGCATACCATGTTACTTTCAATCAAGACTACGGCTGTTTTGCTATCGGCACTGATCGCGGTTTTGGAGTATATAACTGTGTCCCTTTCGGTGAGTCCTTTTGTCGAAACTTTGAAAATATAGGTGGTATTGGAATTATTGAAATGCTCTTTCGGAGTAATATATTAGCCTTTGTTGGACATGGAGACCACCCACAATATCCCCGAAACAAGGTCATGATCTGGGATGATCAGCAAAGCCGTTGCATCCATGAGCTCTGTTTCCGGTCGGAGGTGCGCCGCATCAGGCTTCGGAAGGACTGCCTCGTGGTAGTTCTTGAGCATAAGATATTTGTCTACAATTTTTCTAATCTGGAGTTGTTGTTTCAAATTGAAACAACTACAAACCCAAAGGGGCTCTGTGAGGTTTCACAAACTGCTGATCAACTTGTCTTGGTGTGCCCTGGTCTGCAAAAGGGTCAAGTTTGGGTCAAACATAATGCTTCAAAAAGCACAAAATCTATTGTAGCACATGATTCAGTTCTTGCATGTTTTGCTCTTACGAGGGAAGGCAACCTACTAGCAACAGCAAGCACCAAGGGTACACTAATCCGGATTTTCAACACGCTAGAAGGTACATTGTTGCAGGAGGTAAGGAATTTGTGTCGTCATTGTTTTAGTTTGATCCTATGTTGCATACTCTTTTGTTACATAACCTGAAGTAATCACAGCATCTCTGTTACTCATAGTATTTTTTTCCCTTGTCGGGCCAAAATAAGAATACTTAATGATGGAGGGGATATTGACATTGTTATATGGACTAGAATTTTTTATGTTGCTGCTTTAGTAGTGATCTCCAGTTGCTTTAAATTCCCTTTACCTGTTGTCAGTCTTCATTTCTGTTCTTATGATCATTCAGCATGATGCTGACTTGCTGATCATCCAAATTATATTTTATAGTTCTTTGCCAACTTACTGGAGCAGTTTTACGTACTCTATAATTTCCTCATTAGGTTTTACCTTTAGCTTGCAATATTCTGATATTATCAACCCCCTATCTGGGTCGACCACTACATTTTATCAAAAATAAAATAAAGTATTTGAAATCTAGAAATCTGTATGGTTTTTCACCCTTTTACTCCCTTGAACCCAAAACAAATTTAATAGACATCGTTTGCTAGTTCCTCTTTTTCTATCTTGAATGAGTTTTCCTCCCATAATTACAAGAGTAATTTCTACATTTTGTCATCCTCATCCATAGTATGATGCTGGACATAATTGATAAAGATTGTAAGATTGAACTTTTTTATGGCTTTCTATTTCTTCTTGGCCTGCCTACACGATTTCTTTGAACTTCCAACTAATTGAGTCTTTTAACTTTCCTTTCGACCAACTAACAGCATTACATGCTTGTCTTTTGCTAAATCATGTATGATTCAGGTAAGAAGGGGTTTGGATAGAGCAGAAATATATAGTTTGTCATTCTCTCCAACTGCTCAGTGGCTAGCTGTCTCCAGCGACAAAGGCACTGTTCATGTTTTCAGCCTTAAGGTCAATCTAGGGAACAGGAGTACTGACAAGTCAAATTGTTCTTCCAACTCCCGTGTTCCTGTGGCAGCCTCTAGTTCATTCTCCTTCATCAGAGGTATCTCTAAAGCAGATTTAAGGTTTCTAGTTTATATTTTAAAAACATAGATGGGTATCCATTCATGCTCAATAAAATTATTTTGGTATTTTAATATGTATATTTACAAATCCTTGTTAAGCAATAAAAAATCTTGCATCTAATTTTTAACTCTGTCCCTAAGAACATGACGTTCATTTGCTGATTTTGAGGCATCTATTTAAATAGTGAAAATATTCTACTACATGCACTCCATGCGGGAATTGCAATTACTACCATAGAGAGCAAACTTTTGTTTCTTGAAAGGACACCTTGCCTCTACATGCTACATTTTCTTCTTTGTCTATTTATCAAGCCACAGAATATTCTAGAAGGATTTATTTGACAAATTGTTTCACATAGTTAAAAAGCTCTCGGAGTGAGTCATTTTTACTGTGGTCTTTCAACATTGTGTGGTTTATAATCAGTGTTATATGTTGACTCCATAAGATATGTGATTAGTGAATTCTGTTTTTTATACAGCATCCTCTATTGCCACTATGGAGTATAATAGTATAGTATTACTTGCTTTCTTGTTTGTAGTGATGAGCCACAAGCGGTTGGCTAATTAACTTGTCATGGTTGATGGAGATTTCTTGTCAACTGGCCATAATAAATTTACCTTATTTGATTCAGCTGAACTTTTTTGTCATGGTTGATGGAGATTTCTTGTCAACTGGCCATAATAAATTTACCTTATTTGATTCAGCTGAACTTTTTTGTCATGGTTGATGGAGATTTCTTGTCAACTGGCCATAATAAATTTACCTTATTTGATTCAGCTGAACTTTTTTGTCATGGTTGATGGAGATTTCTTGTCAACTGGCCATAATAAATTTACCTTATTTGATTCAGCTGAACTTTTTTGTCATGGAAAATGCTTTCTTTGGACATTGTGATATGCACAAATTACAGTCTATAATTTCTGTTTCCACCTCTGTGATTTTTCCTGAAGAATATACCTTGGGGACTTTTCATAATTAATGTTATGTATTTCAAGGGAACTTTCTTCATGTAGACTAGGTTATCACCTGGCACACACACTATTGCTACTTCTTTCTATGATTAAGTGATGAACTATTAAACGTGAGAGTACGGAGGTGGTTCTTGAATTCGTGCTTAATTCTTGCAGGAGCTCTTCCCAAGTATTTTAGCTCAGAATGGTCTGTGGCTCAATTCCGACTGCCTGGTGTTTCTCAATACATTGTTACATTTGGCAACGAAAATAATACACTTACAATTCTCGGCTGGGACGGAAGGTTAGTTAACTCTTGCAAGGTTTTTTGTCTTTCTTGTAACATAATCATCTTTGCAATATTTGCCACCTAAGAATTTGATTTCCGTTCTTAGATTTAAATTTCATCGAAATCCTAATTGTTTTAGCTTTCATAGAACTAATTAAACATGTTTAGATACCAACACTTATCTTGGTAAAAGATATTGAAGAGCAATGCTTGTATAGAAGTAGTTCATACAGAAGAAATAACTGATGTGATCTGGTCATGAACTCCTCAGGGACCTCTCTTTAAGCGAAAGAGAGGAAAGACTGTTATGATGTTTTCTCTCTCTTCTATTTAAATTTTGTCGAGTGAAGAAAGATAAATTTCAATCTACTTACATAGAGTTACAAAGATCAACATATTTAAAACAATAGAAAAGATGGTTATCAATAGTGTCACCACAACTGAAAAATTGAAGGGTCCAAACTGATTTATCTCAGGGACTACACGGTCTTTCTGGGACATCTTAGTCTGCTCCCATTATGATTTGGTCCTTCCTATGTAATTTTCTACATGAATTAAGATTTGAGTTTTAACTTCATCTGGGATCTGTCGTGACGATTCATCAGTAATGGCATATACACAATTATTTATTCGGTGTTAGAGACAGTCAGGATTTCTTTTCTGTTTACACTTTTTTAGTTAATGATAGGAATGGAGATGGTTCTTCCATCTATTTTGACATTGAAAATCAGATTTTCCAGATTGACAACGATCATTCTGTCTTGAGTGGACTAGAAACTTCTTGCCAAAACTCAAGTTATCTGAATAATGGATTTAGGTGCGAAGATCCCTACTATAATTCCTACATGTCAATTTGTGTCGTGCAGCTTTTTCAGATGCAAGTTTGACCCAGCATCCGGCAAAGAGATGACTCAGTTGGAATATCACAACTTTCTGGAGCCTGAAGAACCTTGTAATTGAAAGTATGGATGACGTTCGTGACCAAGAAGGATACTATGGCTTCCCAATTAGCTTGCCCTTCTTTGCAAATAGTAGGTTAAAGGCTTTTTAAGCACAGCATATAGCTTGACATAACATAGCAAGTTAGCATATACAACCAACAGTCTTCAACTTGTTGATGTACAAAAAAGAAAGAAGATTTTGATGTAGTAGAATGAAAATGTATATCCAGAGTTTCCAACAACAAACAGTTCCTTGTATAGTAAAGATGCATGAGTTTTCTCTTTAGTAGAAATATAATTGTTTTGCCTTCTTGTTACTGAGTGTGTATTCAAAGATATGTATCTTCATGTTCTCAATTTCTATTCAGTACTATGGCTCGTTATTAGAGTTACTCTCGATCTTCATATTTGTATGAGATGAATTGAAATTTTTATTGTTCATTTGTTAAAGAATTTGTGTCGTGTAAGGCCCATGAATAGGTGTGCTACAACAAAATATTAAATTTTCCAAACAATAGTAATGTAGAGAAATTATAATATTTCAGTAAACTCTTATGGAATCGAACTTCAAAATTCAATTTGAGATGGTTGTAAATAAGGGTTCCTCTAATATTCAATATATGATTATTTATGTTATGGGGGTGAACATTAATAAAGAAAATATATTACTTAAATTAATTATACTAAAAGAGCATGTTTTTTCTTTAAATGTTTAATTCCCACATTATTAATAATGTATTCTTATCTTATGCTCTATTCTATGGTAATATAAAGAGCAACTTTCACATATAGCAAACAAAAAAATCATATTTGTATGCTATAGCAAAGTTTGCATAATTGCGCTCCATAGCAAACATATATATGTATAATTCGCTATACATATATACAAAAAGAAGCAATTGTATAATTCGTTGGCTCCTCTTCAGAATTGTATAATTTCGCTGGCAGGCCATTTGTATAAATTGTTGTTAGCCTCTCGTTGGCAAGGGAATATTTTTATTGTATAATTATAAGTGTATAGGACGAATATATATGTATTTGCATGTGTATATATAATTTTCTCTTGCTTTATACAAATAAAAACTCAATTTATACAATTCTGTTGTATAAAGCGAGAGAGGCGAGCACAGAGGGAGCGAGCGAGAAAGGGAGAGTGGCGAGCGAGAATTTGGAGGGAGAGAGGCGACTTGCAAACGTTTGCTACGAGGCGAAATTAAATCAAACAGTAACTACTCCATTTATTTTAGATTATAAGTTTGTCATTCTGTACAATTATCCCTTTAAATTCTCACATAATTGAATGAGCCCGATGATGTGATATCTTTCTAAAATTAGTATTGTCTTTATTTTTCTAATCATTTTTTTTATTTCTCCTCTTAAAAAGGATGATATTCATTATTCATGTTTAATTGGGGGGGGGGGGGGTTAAAAAGTAACCCCTTTTTAATTCCTCAAAAATAAATTGTCATTTCTTAATTAGGCCTCTTCTATTCCTTTCTTAATTAAGATATGATGTTTGTGCAGACATCTAATCTGAGTCCAACAAAACGACATTAAATATGACTAAGGTTTAATTATTAATTTTTTCCTTCAAATTTACCATTAGACAGAGTATCTAGCGGTCTTTTATTAAAAATAAAAAAATATCAATAGGGATAAGTACAAGCAGTGGAGCTACGCCTTACCGTACCAATCCTAATGAGGTACATAACTTCTACTAACTAACAAGTATGAACGAAATAAGAGTTAGAAAGAACTAAGTATTTTCTGATCACCGCAGAGTTTGTAATACACTCCATGATGATATTACAAATGAGGATGCTTAAATAATGTAAAAATATGACAATCAAGAAGAAGGTTGAGCTATCAGCCTCAAACTTTCTGTTACGAAAGCATGTTTCTCTTGTCTTCTTCTTCAAACATATCCAACAACACTTGATAATTCATACCTTCTTATGGATTTATTAGATCTTGTTGAACCTATTGATACTGTCATATAGTTCTGCTTTGCCTGTCGCATCGGTAGGGGCCTTGAAACAAACTCCTCAGTCGCTTTACTGTCCCAACTATGTTGCCTTTCATGTGTCTTCTTTTTTGCTTTTATTGCTTCCACTTCTTTGTTACCTAGGTGATATATCCTCTTCCCTAGCCACTCTACCAAATCATATGTCCAGCTCTTCCCCATCTTCATCAAGAAAATCCTCGCCCAAATCAATTGTATTCGACGTTAAGGCCTTAGAATCATTCTTCTTTTCAATCAGACATTTAGGCACAAATACGTGCTTCTGGCTTAATTTTCAATTTATAGCAGGTGGTGAAACCTGCTCTTCTTAGACCAAATCATTGTCATTCTTTGTTGATCTTACTAGTTGTGCAGATTCACCAAGCAATTCCAAAGATAGAAGAGATCTTATGAGTTGAGGTGTTCAATGTGACCATGAGTGACTTAACCGCTGGATTGAATTTGAGTAGCATGACATCCCGATTTTCTTCAATAATCTTAACTACCTCAGGATTAGAAAGATATAATGTTGGAGCCATAATATTACCATCTTTTCCAGTAGCATTCAATAAAGCATCAAAGTTATTCAAACATAATAGGTTTCTTGAGGCATTACTAATCTCTTGTCTCTTCTCATTGTCCTAAAAATTTCTAGTCGCACTCTTTCCACTACATGGAGAATTATTTTAACTAGTTGTGGAAAGGGTCCGACTACTAGTTGATTTTTTGTGTTCAACTAGTGTCCAGTTTTTAGTTGCATTCTCGTTTTCAAGTTGCAAAAAATGTTGCCTAGAATTTTTCAGTATCTTCAACATCAGTTGTATCTATTAGTTTGGTCTTGAATCAACTGGCGGCGCATCAACCCCAACTCTTGGTGTTTCCCCTGTATCAATATTCATTGAGTCTCCACGATTTTGCTTAGAAGTGGCAACAATCAAATGTCGATCTAAAGTAGTAGCTTTACTTTAATCGACATCCACCACCCTTTTTTCATTTAGTATTTCCCTCACATCACCTTGATATTTTTCACTATTGCTAGTACCTTTTAAAGTAGACTCAATGGTATCATCAATTTGTTTGTTATTTTGATTTCTTTTCGAGATCAAACAATAACTAACTTCATCACGACTTTGATGCTTACAATAATTGCAATACAGAGGTAGTTATCATATACAACCTCCTGAAAAACCTCGATCAACTTACCAGGTTTTTCATCCACAAAATGCAACCTTATACGATTTGAAAGTTTTTCAAATAGATCATGTATAACCTTGACCCTCGTCATGCTTGGTCTTGACTTTATTTGAGTAGTTTTATCTATGACTATTGATTTCCCAACTACCGATGCTAGAGACAACAAATACTTCTTTGCAAACGAATCAGGAGATAAGTTCGATAAAGAAATTCAAATCACAGCTAAAGTCGTTTCCTCCTTAGGATTATATCCAATGGACCATGGAAGTACCATATATTGGTGATCTTCTCCATTGTAGAGAAGATAATCCTGAGCGAGATAAAGCTAGTACAAAATCTTCATATTGATCAAACCTCAACAAAATTTGTCTTGGAGCAAGTAAGTCAATTAAATAGTTGCCCTTGGTACCAAGATGTTTCGGCAAAATCAACCTTAATACCTTCAAATCTATCATACCATAAGATAATTTAAACCAATGCTTGATGCAATCCTTCTTCGATCATAAAATTTTATCTTTCCTCTGTTAAAAACGTGATAGTAGGTTCTCCGTGAACAATTTTGACATATTTTTATGATTGTTTTTTTAGTTATTTAGGGTAGATTGCTTGGGGTTAAGAGTATTGTAATCGATAAGGGTGGCATATGTGGTGGTTTGGGGTGGTGGGGCGGGATGGACAGACTCAAGAGGAGGTCGTCCAATGGTCGTAGCAGCCATGAGAGAGTTGCGCAACAACTGCCTAGAAAGGAGCCGTCAGAGAAAGAGAAAGCCCTAGGTTTTTCCCCTTTCTGACCTGAGGACATTCAAGGTTTAATTTATGAAAACGTGTCAAGTAGTAAAATTAGGAAGACAAATTAAGATAAATTTTAGTACTTTCTGAAATTTATTTCTTTATTTTAGTTCTTTTATTCAAATTTTTGAATTTTTTTTGAAGTAATATTAGATAGTTTAATTGAGGAAATTATTACAAAGAAGATTTTGACATCACAGTGAATACCATTAATTTTTTGACATGTTCATTTTCCCCCCTTAAACTTTGAAGAATTATTGTTCTATGTTATACAATTAACAATGCTATGAAGTGTTTTTCTTGATTATTTATGTTAAAGTTATACATGCTTTAAATAGTAAATATTTGTTCGACATAGTTTATAATAATTTTAAGGATTAAGTCATCAGTAGTCTCTTAAAATTATCCGCATAATTCATTTAGACACATCAATTAAGACTAGTACCTATTGAACACTTTTACCAATTCAAAAATTATTCCTATTAGGCATTTTTTGATAATTCAGCAAAATATATGAAGAGTGTGTGATACACTTGCGGTGACGTGACAAAACGGCTAATTAAAAAATAACATGTGGCACTGGGCCTTGAAAATTATATAAAAAAAAAATTTGTTTAAAATTATTTCAAACACTTTTTATATCTAATTTTTTTAAAAAGAAAAAGAAAAAGAAAAAAATGAAAATGTCAACCTATTCTACCCAACCCCACCCCTACCCAACCCCCTTTCATCTTCGTCTTCTTCCCAAAACACATTCTTTCTCAAATCACAAAACATAATTCTTTTCAAATAACTTGAAGATTAACTTTAAAAATATATATATATATACATTTTCATACTAAGAGTGAAGAAGAAAGAAAATTTTACCGGCGGTTATTCATTTCTACATCGATGACAAAATGAAATTGATATCTCAAAAAATAATTCTTTCAAATTTTTGAATATCATTTTTGATAAATTTAATGGGTTTATATATGAATTTGAGTAAAAATCTTTGTTCGAAAATTGTGATAAACAAATATTGGCTAACTTTTTTTATACGTAAAAATCATTTATCTTCTTTCTTCTTCTTCATATTTGTTCCTTATTTTTATGAGAGTTGAAATAAATCATACGAAAGAAAGTCTTACTTTCTTTCAAATCTGAATCTTCATAGTTGATTTTCATTTATCTTCATATTTGGAAGAAATAATATTCCTTTTTTTATAAAAAAAAGAAAGAAAAACAATGTTAGAGCTAAAATGAAGAAAGTTTTGCAAACTAAAGTATGAAGAAGATGATAGGTAGGGAGTGGGGTCCTTTTCTTTTTTGAAAAAAGTGTAAATGAAAGAA